AGATTTCCTAAATCTCCCCTTCATGCATACTATTTAATATTTTTGTGCTATGTTTCATTGCCACTTGTCTTACTCCTAGTAGTAAATTATAGTTGCCAGATTTGCATTCCATCAAAATAAGTATATATAAATTGAGAAAAACTGAGAACATGGAGTTGTCTTGCAGGCAAGCTTAGGCAGAAGGGTCTTACACAAAACATCAATGCATTGTTTTTGCTACATGTACACCAAGCAACCTAACACCATATGATACCTAACCATGTTCCTTCTCTCTTTTCTCCCTTTCCTACAGGCGATGTGTTCATTCTGGTATTTAGCCTTGACAACCGGGACTCCTTTGAGGAAGTCCAGCGCCTGAAGCAGCAGATCTTGGAGACCAAGTCCTGCCTGAAAAACAAAACCAAGGAGAACACTGACGTCCCTTTGGTCATCTGTGGCAACAAGGGCGACCGCGACTTCTACCGTGAGGTAGAGCCCAGGGAGATCGAGCAGCTGGTGGGGCAGGACCCCAAGAAGTGCGCCTACTTTGAGATCTCTGCCAAGAAGAACAGCAGCCTGGACCAGATGTTCCAAGCCCTCTTCGCCATGGCCAAGCTGCCCAGCGAAATGAGCCCTGACCTCCACCGCAAGGTCTCCATCCAGTACTGTGATCTCTTGCACAAGAAGGCGCTCAAGAACAAGAAGCTGATGAAGGACGTTGACGGTGGTGGCGGAGAGGCATATGGCATCGTGGCGCCCTTTGCCCGCCGACCCAGCGTCCACAGCGACCTCATGTACATCCGAGAGAAGACCATCAGGGGCGGGCAGGCCAAAGACAAAGAGCGCTGCGTGATCAGCTAAAAGATGGCCTTCTCACATTCCCAGCCAAAGAAGGGGGAAGAGGCGATTGTTCATACCAAAACTGTGCCCTTTGCGGTGGCATGGTGCCCACATGCCCAAAGTGGTGGCATCACTCATGGCCTCCTAGCCATTTGAGGGGACTTTTTTTTACCAACCAAACTCCCCTTGGTTATTTTATACATACTTGGAGGAGTGAGATTGCCACGGGGAGCTCTGTGGAAAAGAGCCAACAATGGAGGACTTTGGAGAGGAGAAGAGACAGTTTTCAAAAATGAACTTTGTGACGGAGAGGTATCTCCGGCCAGTCTTTCGCCATTGTGCGTTGTCTTAAAATAATTGTGTGTGTGTGTGGACAAGTGTTGGATGGGGTTGCGGGTTGAAGAAAACACCCTTCAATGAACTTTTCAGCTGTGCCTACTTGTGATGTTTGTGCCTGTTGCAATGTCGCAAACCAAGAAGATAAATGGACATTGGCTGCTGATATCCGAGGAAACGATCCTCCTCTTGACCCACTTCAGGGAACACAAGTGACTGGTGTATGTTTATGTGCACATGTTGCGTATGTGTGTGTTTAGGGAAAATGTTTTCCTGTTTACATTATCTCCTTCTTTGTCTTTTTTCTCGTAAAAAAAAGAAGGGGAAAACAATATTGCATTCAAGCAAAGAGGCACTTTATATGTCCAACTACTCAGTCCAGATAGACGAGATGAACAAAGTCTTGGCTCAGTGTTTTACAACATGTGACACACTGGTTCTGTCGTTTTGTTATATTTTTTCTATAAAATAAAACATTGAAAAGAAAGTTGAATGTTTCTGGCTTTTGATGTGTTCCTCAATAATATTTCGGAGGGAAAGGGCTGTGGGAAGTGGATGGGATCAAGGCAGAGAGCCTTTCCAGTCTTCCTGTTCCAAAAGTCATGGAGTGCAATATAAATACATATACACACATGCATATGAAAAAAAGATGGGAATATGTGGAAGGATTGTCAAGCCCACTCCCCATCCCACCCCAAAATCAAAAGTTGGAGAAAAAATTAAAAGTTTGTGTACTCCAATGTCCAGAATCCCCCTCCAGAACTCTCCAGTACAACTCCATCTCTGTTGTTGTGTACCTTCAAGTTATTTCCAACTTATGGAGACCCCATCACTGGAATTTCTTGGGAATAGGTCCAGAAGAGGTTCACCCTTGAATCTGAGAGAGTGTGACTCACCCAAGGTCACCCAATGGATATCCATAGCTAAGAAGGAATTCAAAGCAGAGTCTTCAGAATCATAGTCTAATGCTCAAACTACATCATGTTGGATACCTTTGCCTTCATTAATTAACACTTTAGGGGTTACATTGCCCTTCAACACACATATCCCCAATATAATTGAGAAACCTATCCAGGGGGAGTTGAAAGTTATCTCTGGTGCACATATTTGTCAAGATTAAACATCATAAAAAGGTTTTGGCATCCGACTCACACTCAAAAGTTTCCTTCTAGGTTATGTAATTCTGTTTTCTCCTCTCTGGCCCTCTGCCCATGTTTGTTTGACCAGAGCAAATAATAAAAAGCTGAATCTCTGAGATCCAAACAGTGACCCCACCTCATTGGCAAGCAAGGCTTCTTTCCTACCATCGAGAGGAAAGCTGGAGTCCCAACTCCCATCAAGCAAAGAGCAGCACTTCCTCCAGTTCTTCATAATTTTTATTAATCCTTTTATTTGAAACTAGGAATGTATTCAGGGCATTATATATGAAAATATCCAAAGTGGCTGCCTGGTGAACTCAATCTTTTGATGTGAATTGGGGCTAGCTAGAAAAATAGTTGCGAAAGGTGGGCCATATGCCTCTGAAAACCACACCAAAGTAAATCTCAGGTGGGGATGGTTTCCAGCATCCCAATTGGAGGTTCTGGAAAGTGCAGTCCAAGACTACTACCATTTTAAAGTTCGTTCCTGAATATCATAGAATCCTTGTTGGAAGGTACCCCCAAGGCCATCCAGTACAACTTCCTTTTGTCATTCGGGAAAACACTACCAAGCCCTCCCAAAGGATGGCCATCCAGCTTCTGCTAACAAGTCTCCAGAGAAGGCCATAGAGGAAGGCAATTGAACTAGGACTCTGCTCCTAGTCCAAATAAATGGTTCAGATTGAAAACAATTTAATTTGAATGGAAGTATTGAGGAAAAGATTGAAAATAATACAGAAAGGAACTATTCAGTCTCTTTTTCTCTGTTGACAGTAACTTCCTGGCATTTATAGGATGCCAGGGCCAAATTTAGTGAAAAGCTCTTTGTATGCCATATGTCTTCTTTCCCCCTGCAATTTTTTTTCATTTGGGAATTTTCCCTTCTTGAGATTCCTGTACACATGAATAGTCCCACTAGGATCTGGTGTGTAAATCCCATCAGCAATTTAACTCCAGGTGACCTATGTTTTGCTTCTCTTGGGAAGTTATTTCCTTCAACCCACCAACCCTTTATGTTCCAGATACCTTTCTGCTCCAGAATCTCCAGATATACAGGAGATACATTCCTAAACTTCATCTGGATATGCAAACAGTAGATAATAGTGAAATTAATTAATTGAGATGAAGGATCTGTGGGCCAAGAATTGCATAAAGGTGTTTGGAGGACAAATAAAATACTTAAGAGAAGATACATTTTGTTGGATAGATCAATACGTAGGCACCAGTCCCACCGATACCTGAACATGGTGTTGGTTGAGTACATAAACTATTATGTGTTTGGTTTCTCTTGCCCTCAGTCACTTCCGCACATTCTGCTGCAATCGGCCAGCTGTCTTTCATTTGCCGCTGGAAAATTTGCAGGTACCCAAAAGGTAAACATTTGTGTGCCTTGGCAGCTTGACAGCACACATGAAATGTACCAAGGGTGAACTGCAGGGAATTCAGACCTCACTGACCCCATGACTTCTTTACTTGTCTCATCCAGGTACATACCTTCCTTCCACGCTCCGACAATCCACCGCATTGTACTCTCCTGGTTTGAGTACAAAACAACAATGGGCCCTTCCCTTGTGACTTTGGGACGGGGGCCAAAGCGTTGTACTCAGGCACCTGGAACCGTACAGAGAGCAGGGCAACCGACGTAGCCCTTGCGAGGCAACAATGCCATTTGCATCATTGACGGGAAGGCGGGAACGGATCCGAGTCACCCCTTTGTTCTGCCACGCCACTTAAAATCATAGAGCTGGAAGAGACCCCAAAGGCCACCCAGCCCAACTCTATTCTATCATACTGTGAACCATTCAAGCCTTCCTGATAGATGGCCATCCCTTTTTATTGAGAATTCTTCCTTGGGAGGCCCAAATAGCACCAACATTGCTGCTGTTTGGCCACCAAGTAAAGATCAGGTGATGTATGTCCGTTTTTAAGGCCAACGTTTTTTTGACAAAACCCTTTATTGCGCATGGTTTCAATTACTTTCAAAGTAGACCTGATTATTTAAATCTTTTCAATCAGTCAAAGGTTTTAAATAGTCAATTTCATACTATTTCTAAATATATATTCATTGCTATGCATGTTTGAATTTTTCCTCTAAGTCGATAGATAGATCTATCTAGATCTATCTAGATCTATCTATCTACTACTACTACTACTACTATCTATCTGTCAACTACTACTATCTATCTATCAATTACTAGGTTGGCATCATCACATATGTCTATGTAAATAGTGTTCCCCACAAATTTGTCTCCAGAATTCCTTCTTTCGCGCCTCTTACACTTCCCTTTCATCTTCTTTCCATCCAGGATTTTAAAAATGCAAAATATAGAGAGAGTGAAATAAGAGTATTCCCTTCCAAAAATAGGTAAATGAAGATAGTAAAAATGAAAAGTGTGTGTGTGTGTGTATGCAAAAAAAAAAAAAGGTTAAAAGGAAAAAATGAAAAAAAGAGAAATAATAATAATAATAATGACTGGAAACAATAAATGTTGTAACCAAACAAATCCAAAATTGGGTCAGGGGGATATTTCAAAAAGAAGAGGGAAATAAATCTTATAGAATGATTTAAAAAAATAAAAAAGAGAGCAAAAATACTTAGATAAGACTATATTCCATAACCTGACTTAATGGAACAGCAATTATATATTTTACAGCCCTAATATTTTCAGATTTTCCTCCCCTTGAACTCAACTCTTAAGAAAGCAATTACAGAAACAAGAATTTATTCAAAATAAACAACACAAAAATAATTTTTGAAAAAGATATGTACACACAGACAACACATTTGTATGCTGGGGCCTTGGCTACAAATTTTGACAGAATCCCAGAAAAATTGGGACACAACATTGACCCAATCCCAACCGCCCCATAAGCTTCCATGAATCACTCTCTGTTCTAGTTCTGCAGATTTCAAATAAACATAACCTCGGCTTCCCTGCTGCTTCCTCCTGCTGGCGTCCTTCGCAGAAGGAACAGGATAATTGCTTTCTAATGGAGCTGAGAGTGGGATATATTAGAAAAATGTTTCCCGCTCTCCTTTTTGCTTCTCGTTTATACAGGAAAAATCATTGCCGCAATCAGATGTTCACAATACAAATGAAAAAGTTGGCAGATTACACGTTAAAACAAAAACCACTTCTGAAATATACTAGACTCTTTGCAGCTAGAGATATAAACTCTCAAGAGGAAAGTCAGGCTCCCTGACACTCTAGCTTTTTAGGAACAAGGATTTAAAAAAATATATAGATGGTTTTTCAAGTATGGAACTCTATCCCACACTAGCATTTAATATGAAACTATAGGAGGAACACCCAAAAAACCAATCCTGAGGAACATTGCAAAATATTGCATCTAAAAATATAATCTCTCAAGAGAAAGGTCAGGCCCTAAGTGCAAGAATTTTTTAAAAGTATGAAGGAGGCTATCCACGTATAGAATATAAATCCTGTATTTTTCAAATCCATGCATCTAGAAAGCTGGAGTGTCAGGAGGCCTTTCTCTTCTTATGTTTCTAACTGCAAGGAGTGCATATTATTTTCCAGAATTTGTTTGTGTTCTAACATGTAGTTCCCCCATCTTTTCTTTTTGTGTTTGAACATGATTGCGGCACATAATTTTCACGTATAAATTATACATTGTATAGGAAGAGTACCCAAAAACCAGTCCTGAAAAACATTGCAAAATATAAACTAACAGTGTGTTTCACCAAAGAGAGTCCATCAGAACACATGAGTCCCAGGAATAAGTAATATACCAGGCAAAGGCCTTACTAAGTACTGGAGATGGCCCAGGGTGCAGAATTGATGCAGCTTGATGTCACTTTAATTGCCATGATTCAATGCAATGGAATCCTGGGGATTCATAATTTAGTGAGGCACCAACGCTCATTGTCAAACTACGTCTCCCATGATCCCATAGCATTGAATCATGGCAGTTAAAGTGTACTGAACTACATTAATTTGACAGAGTAGACACACCTTCATTCTGTGCCCTGGAAAAGAAGGGGCAGAGTCATTTCCTTTCTTATTCCTTGGGGATCTCAAACATGCAAAGGCTCTTGTACTTCTGCAGCAACTCGCTCTTGGTTTTCACTTGCTCCCGGAGGCTTTGGAGCTGGAGCTGCTGCTGTTCGGGGCTCATGCCGATGCCCTGCATGGACTTGACCAGCTTCCGCATCTCCACAAATTTGGTCCTCAGTTCGTTCAGCATCTGGTGGACATCCTGGCTGTCTTTGTCCATACTGGGAACACAACAGGAGGGAACAGAAAGAAGCCATTGTTGCACTTATTGGCCACAAATGCTGGCAAAATGCCTAGAAGGTCCTCAATGGGAATAGGACTGAGACTTAAGAGGAAGCTGCTCCATAGGACAGTTTCCCTGGGAAAGCACAAAACCCTGGGGGCCTTTAAATTCCTTGTGGTCTTTACAGGATTATTTCTAAAACGGCTGCCTCTCATTTTTTGGCTTATTGTTCCTTGTCTGTTTTTCCACCTAACTTTTTGACAGCCTAGTTGCTTTCTGAAAAACTTACGTTCATACTGAGTATAAGAAACTGAATTCCTTGGTTAACAAAGCCTCTGGTAGTGACTATTGTTGTTGTTATATTTATATCTCGCTTTTACCTCTTGACTGAAATGTGAAGTGGCTCACAACATTGAAAAAACAATACAAATCCCACAGTGTGTCTACACTGTAGAATGAATGCAGTCTGACACCAGACTGCTTTCCAGAAGAGAGTGTGGATATGCTATTGTGTGTTTTGTTTGCCAGGGGAGTCGTTTTTGCGCATGTGCTGTAGCAGCTTTTGGCTTTTTAAGTCCCTTCCACTGTATTTTTAGTGTTTTTATGAGTGACTAGCCGTTCCCTGCCATGCGTTGCTGTGGTCCACTCTGTGTATATATGTTTTGTGTGTGTATATATGTGTACATGTGGTTTTGCACATGCATTGTAATGTATTTTTTCATTTTTTGGCTTTTAAAGTCTCTTCTGCTGTGTTTTTCAGCGTTTTTCTGAGTGATGGTCACTCGTTGGCCTGATACGTGTCTTGTGTCCAAATTTGGTGTCAATTCATCTAGTGGTTTTTGAGTTATGTTGATCCCACAAACAAACATTACATTTTTATTTAGATGGTCACACATTGGCCTGATAGGTGTTTTGTTTCCAAATCTGGTGTCAATTCGTCCAGTGGTTTTTGAGTTATGTTAATCCCACAAATGAACATTACATTTTTATTTATATACAATAAAGAACGGTTACATTCCTTCACTGTTATCTGTGTCCCCCGCGCCTCGGTTCCGCAATTTGCGTTTTATATGCTTTGGTGTTTTATATCTTAATGAACTGGATGAGAGCTAACAAATTGAAATTGAATCCAGACAAGACAGAGGTCCTACTGGTCAGTCGTAAGGCCGAACAGGGAATAGGGTTACAGCCTGTGTTAGATGGGGTTACACTCCCCCTGAAGATGCAGGTTCGCAGCTTGGGAGTGATCCTGGACTCATAGCTGAGCCTGGAACCCCAGGTCTCGGCGGTGGCTGGGAGAGCTTTTGCACAATTAAAACTTGTGCGCCAGTTGCGCCCGTACCTTGGGAAGTCGGATCTGGCCACAGTGGTACACGCTCTTGTTACAGCCCGAATAGATTACTGCAATGCACTCTACGTGGGGTTGCCTTTGAAGACTGTTCAGAAACTTCAATTAGTCTAGCGGGCGGCAGCCAGATTACTCACCGGAGCGTCATACAGGGAGCATACCACCCCCCTGTTATGTCAGCTCCACTGGCTGCCAATCCAGTTCCGAGCACAATTCAAAGTGCTGGTTTTGACCTACAAAACCCTATACGGTTCCGGCCCAGTGTATCTGTCGGAACGTATCTCCTTCTACGTCCCGCCTCGGAGTTTAAGATCTTCTAGGGAGGCCCTGCTCTTGGCCCCACCTCTATTACAAGTGAGGTTGGTGGGGACGATGAGTAGGGCCTTCTCGGTGATGGCCCCTCACCTGTGGAATTCACTCCCCGGGGAAATTAGGTCATCGACATCCCTCCTCTCTTTTAGAAGGAAATTAAAAACATGGATATGGGACCAGGCTTTTGGACAATCTGGCATATAGACAAAGGACAATTGACGACTAGAATTGATAGGATTTGACAATGTGGAATGAATTTATGCACTCTGAGCTGGCAAACGTTGAGCACTAGATTGGTTTTATTGATTATGATGTATAATTGATTGTTTTAATTGCTGTTTATATATGTTTTATCTTATTGTTTGTGTTGGCATCGAATTGTGCCTTTTGTAAGCCGCCCTGAGTCCCCCCTCGGGGGTTGAGAAGAGCGGGGTAGAAGTGTGCGAAATAAATAAATAAAAATAAATAAAATATGTTTGTTTTATTGCAATTTGTGTTGTTATATTGTAATTTTTGTTCAGGCTTGGCCCCATGTAAGCCGCTCCAAGTCCCCTTTGGGGCGATGGTGGCGGGGTATAAATAAAGTTTATTATTATTATACACCTACATTATATATATTTTTTTCTGATTCATACAAAGTTTTGAAAAAAGGAAGTTATGCTGCCTCACCCTGTATTACCAGCACTGGGTCCCAGCTATCATACTATTACCAGCACTGGGTCCTAGCTATCATACTATTACCAGCACTGGGTCCCAGCTATCATACTATTACCAGCACTGGGTCCCAGCTATCATAGTTACCAGCACTGGGTCCCAGCTATCATACTATTAGCAGCACTGAGTCCCAGCTATCATACTATTATACGATATGTGCTTACCTACAAAGCGCTGAACGGTTTGGGACCAGCCTACCTGCGTGACCGCATTTCCATCTACGAACCCACGCGTTCTCTTCGGTCATCTGGAGAGACCCTGCTCGTGATCCCACCAGTGTCGCAGGCACGCTTGGTGGGCACGCGGGACAGGGCCTTCTCCGTAGTGGCCCCCCAACTCTGGAACCCCCTCCCCAAAGACTTTAGACAGGCCCCTTCATTGGCTATCTTCAGAAAGAACTTAAAAACCTGGCTTTTCCGATGCGCCTTCCCAGATTAGGAAATCTCCACTACCGAGTCCCACAAGCACTTTACCAGAACCAATGATTGCTGCACATTGCACATCGCACTTGCCCTAGTAACCCTCTATACACCTCCTGTCAAATCAGCACTTTTAATCCTTGTACCCACCTTTTGGCCCGGCCCAGTTTTATTGTGTTTTAATGTACTGTGCTTGTTGTTTATTTTGCTTTAATTTGTTTTAATTGTTTGATTGTATTGTTATGTTGTATTGTTGTGGCCTCGGCCTGTTGTAAGCCGCATCGAATCCTCTGGGAGATGCTAGCGAGGTACAAATAAAGTTTAATAATAATAATAATAATAATAATATTACCAGCACTGGGTCCCAGCTATCATACTGTTACCAGCACTGTGTCCCAGCTATCATACTATTACCAGCACTGAGTCCCAGCTATCATACTATTACCGCCAAGTTGCTCTTATTTCTTTAAATACCCTTTCCCAATTTTTTTGTATAATTTCACAGGCCCATCACATATGAAGACCTGGGCCTATTTTCTAATAGTCTGCCCCCCATTTACCATTTGATGACGTCGTGGACGAGGGGCAGGAAGGAGGCCTGCTCGTGGCTGGGGGGCGCCGCGGAGGGCGAGGCCTGCTGGGCCGAGGAGGCCTGCGGGGGAGCCTGGGCCGGCGCCTGGAGCTTGGCCTCGGCCGGGGAAGGCTGCTGCTGCTGTTGCTGCGGAGGAGGAGGAGGCTGCGAAGAAGGCGGCTGCTGCTGGGCCTGCGGAGGAGGAGCAGCCGGGAGCGGAGGAGGCCCCGCCGGCTCGCCCTGAGAACTAGGCCCCGACGGAGGCAGCGAGCCCTGGGCAGGCTCCTCGGGCCTCGGGGCAGGGCCCGGCGCCGCCATTGACAGCCCCTTCCCTTCCTTGCCTTCGCTGCGGCCTTCTCTCCCTCTGGAGACCCGCCTCGAGTTCGGTTGCTAAGGCCCGCTTTCCTCGCGTTGCCAAGCAAGGAGACTTCTCTTTCTCTCTCTCTGAAGGCGCGGGGATATGACGTCACGCACCTTCCTCTCACTCTCCTGTAGGAGTTGTCGCGGGGTTTGGGCGTCAGGAGGAGGGGCCTGCTCTGAGGGAAAGGGAAAGGAGGAGGAGGAAGAAGGGGAGAAATAGGAGAGGAAAAAGGGGGAAATGGAAGGAAAGGAGGAGAACAAATGGAGGGGGAGGAACAGAAATAGAGATAAAGGAGAAGAATAAATGGAGGAGGAAGAGAAATAGGAATAGAGGAAGGGAAGAAGAGGAAAAAATGGAAGGGGAGAAGAGAAAATAAGGATAAAATGAGGGGGAAGAGGAGAATTAGAGGAGGAGGGAAAATGGAGAAAGAGGAAAAAGAGAAACATAAAAGGAATAAAGTAGAAAGCAGGAGAATAAATGGAGGAGGAAGAGAAATAGAAATAGGAGAGGAAGGGGGATAAGAGAAAAATAGAAGGAGAAGAGAACAAATGGAGAAGGAAGAGAAATAGAGATAAAGGAGAAGGAGGGAGAGAGGAAGAGAAGAGGAACAAAGAATATGGAGAAAGAAGAGGAAGGGGAGAAGAGAAAAAAGGAAGGAAAGGAAGAGAATAAATGGGGAAGAACAGAAATAGAGATAAAGGAGAAGGAGGGAGAGAGGAAGAGAAGAGGAACAAACAGGGAATGAGCAAAGAAGAAAGAATAAATGGAGGAGGAAGAGAAATAGGAATAGAGGAAGGGAAGAAGAATTAGAGGAGGAGGGAAAATTGGGAAAGAAAGGGAAAGAGCAACACAGAGGAGGAATAAAGTAGGAAACAGGAGAATAAATGGAGGAGGAAGAGAAAGAAATAGAGGAAGGGGGAGAAGAGAAAAATAGAGGGAGAAGAGAACAAATGGAGAAGGAAGAGAAATAGGGATAAAGGAAAAGGAGGGAGAGAAGTAAAGAGGAACAAACAATGAACAAAGAAGATGGAGGAAGAAGAGAAAGAGGAAGAAAATAAGGACAAAAAAAGGGGAAGAATAGAAATAGAGGAGGAGGAGGGAAAATGGAGAAAGACAGGAAAAAGAGCAACACAGAGGAAGAGGAATAAAGTAGAAAACAGGAGAATAAATGGAGGAGGAAGAGAAATAGAAATAGGAGAGTAAGGGGGAGAAGAGAAGATGAATAGAGATAAAGGAGAAAGAAGGAGAAAGGAAGAGAAGAAAAACAAATAGAGGAGAAGGAACAAAGAAGAAAGAATAAATAGAGGGAGAAGAGAAATAGAAATAGGAAAGGAAGAGGGAGAAGAGAAAAATGGAAGGAAAGGAGGAGAACAAATGGAGGGGAAAGAAGAGATAGAGGAGGAGAGAAATGGGGAAAGAGGAAGAGGAAACGGGGAAAGAGAGGAAGAAGAGCAACACAGAGGAAGAGGAATAAAGTAGAAAACAATAAATGGAGGTGGAAGAGAACTAGAGGAAAGGGGAGAAGAGGAAAAATGGAAGGAAAGGAGGAGAACAAATGGAGGAGGAAAAGAGAAATAGAGAAGGAGGGAAAATGGAGAAAGCAAGAAAAACAACAAATAGAGGAATAAGGAAGAAAACGTGAATAAATGGAGGAGGAAGAGAAATAGGAGAGGAAAGGGGAAAAGAGAACGATGGAAGGAGGTGAACAAATGGAGGGGAAGAAAAATTGAGGAGGGAAAATGGAGAAAGAGGAAGAAGAGCAACGCATACAGGAAGAGGAATAACGTAGATAACGAGAATAAATGGAAGAGGAATAGAAATAGGAGAGGAATGGGTGGAAGAAAAAAGGAAGGAAAGAAGGAGAACAAATGGGGAGGAAAAGAAAGAGATAAAGGAGAAGAGGAAGAGAAGAAGAATAAACGGGGAACACAGAAGAAAGGAGGAGAATAAATAGAGGAGAAAGAGAGGGGGAGAAGAGAAAATGAAAGGAGGAGAACAAATGGAGCAGGAAGAGGAGGAGGAACAACTTAAAGAACAAGGAGAAATTAAGGAAAAGAAGAAAGAAAAGGAAGAGAATTCAAAATCAAGGAATGTGAAGAAAATGGAGAAGAACAAATGGAGGGGAAGAAGTGAAATAGAGGAGGGAAAATGGAGAAAAGAGGAAGAACAACAACAAATAGGAACAAAGAAGAAAGGAGGATAATATATGGAGGAGGAAGAGAAATAGAAAAAGGAGAGGGGATGAGAAATAGAAGCAGGGAAGGAAGGAGAAATAGAAGAAGTTGAAAAAAAGAAAAAGAGTAATAGAGGAAGAAGACAAATAGAAGAGGGGGAGAAGAAAAATAGAGGGAAGGAAGATGGAGGGGAAGAAGAAAAAGAGGAGAAGGAGGGAGAGTGGAAGACAAGAACGAATAAGAGGAAGAAAAGGAGAAGCAAGTTAAAGAAAAAGAAGAAATAGAAGAAGAGAAATAGTGGAAGAAGAAAAATAGAGGGAAGGGAGGAGAGGGAGAACAAATGGAGGGGGGAGAAGTGAAATAGAGTAGGAAGAAAGGGAAAATGGAGGAAGAGGAAGAAGAACAACAAATAGGGGAAGAAGAATAAATTGAGAAGTAACAAAAGAAAGGAGAATAAACAGAGAATAGGAATAGGAGAAAGAAGGAAGAGAAATAAAAGTAGAGAAGGAAGGGGAAATAGAAGAAGTTTTAGAAAAAGAAGGAAAAATAGAGGGGGGAAAAGAGGAGGGGGAGAATTAGAGATGGAAGAGGAGAAAGAAAGGACGAGGAGGGGAATCAATAGAGTAAGAGTAGGTAGAAAAGGAAGAGAAAGAAAAAGATGGAGAAGTCCTAGAAATAGAGGAAGAGGAATTTGCAACAGAGGTGAATGAAACAGGAGCAAGAGGAAAAGAGGAAGAGCAGAAATACAGGAGAAGTCAGAAATGGAGAAAGAGAAGGTATGAAAGGAATAGAGGAGGAGTGAATAGAATCATCAATTAACTCTCTTCTCACACTAGTGTTTCCCAAATGTTGGTCTTCCAGATGTTTTAGACTTGAACCCTATGAGTTGTAGTTTGGTGATCTTTGGTAAAGACGGCGAAAGGCCTTGCGAAACTATATTTCCTAGGATTCCCATGGCACTTAAAGTAGTGTCGAACTGCATTCATTCTACACTAGAGATGAACCCAGTGTGTTCTGTGTGGCATGGAAATGGGCAGTGATCTTTTGAGCCAAATCACACCTGAGAGCAAGCCCTTGAAAGGAACAGGAGTGGTTAGTCACCCTTTCTGGAAATCCCATTGATCTCATTGGGTTTCCACGCCTGAGACTCAAAACTGGATCCTGCCAATGGCTCATTGATTTCTCCTCTTCCGCAAAACAGTGCGTGGCTGGCATGGCATGAATAATAGTCTCCTTAACTCCATTAGGAACCTCACGACTTCTTTGCCACCAGCAAGATGGAAATGAGCAAAGGAAAAATAGCTTTGCTCCGAGGAGAAACGACACTGTGGCTGATCTCAGCATTTGTCAGACTCATGTTTAATGAAACGAAGGAAATTGGATTTATTTCCAGCAGTAGGAAAGTGGGGGGGGGGGGGGATGCATTTTAGATCAACCACAGACAGGTTCCTCTATCCTTTTTGATTATCTTCAATATGATTTCATCTCAAATTCAGTCTCGAAGGTGGTGAGTTAATCCTAAATTAAGGTTGTGGAAGTTTTAGAGGCAACCTTTGGTGATGTCACTAAGTGCTGTGGATTAAATGCCAACCACAGTGGCTCACGGTTTGTCATCCAGACTTATAAACACATAGGAAATAAAGGCAGAAATCTCCCCAGATCAGGGCGAAATGAGGGCTTTTTACTTGAAATAAGGAACATCTCAATCCATCCTTCTTGCTTCTAGCCAAAGAAATAGATGCTAAATACAATGGAGGGTGAGCCCTGGTGCTGCAAAGGCTGCAAGGAATGGAAGACACAAATACACAGACTTCTCCCTCAACGAACAAATTAATTAAGCTTTAGAAACTTTAGCAAGCACCTATTTTCCTAGCTGAGAAGATTCGTTGTTGTGGTTATTAGTATTACTACTACTACTACAGCTCACTTTTATCTCTTAACCAAACTTCAAAGTGTTTCATAGCATTAAAAATATAATGGCAATGGCATAAATAAACTGGAAACTCTGGGCATTTGGAAGCCTCAGTCCTAAGCAACTGATAGCCATGAAAGGGAAATCAATCAATCTTTCCTGCCTTCTTCCTTCTCTTCCCTTCTCCTTCTTTCCTCTTTCATCCCTCTCTACCTTTCCCTTTCTATCTTCCATCCTCTTTCATCAGTTCCTCCCATTTCCTTTTGTTTCATTCCCTCTCCTTCCATCCATCCATCTATCTCATTCATCCTTCTCTTCCTTCCATCCATCCATCTATTTATCTATCCTCATTCATCCTTCTCTTCCTTCCATCCATCCTTTTTCTTCCTTTCCCTTCCCTTCCCTTCCCTCCATCTGTCCATCCATCCATCCCTCCTTCCTCTTTCATTCCTTCCTTCCTTCCCTTCCTTCCATCCATCCATCCATCCTCTTTCATCATTCCCTACCTTTTCCCTTTCTACCTTCTTTCCATCCTCTTTCATCCTTTCATCTCATTTCCTTTCATTCCCTTCCCTCTCCTTCCTTCCATCCATCCTCATCCATCCTTCTCTTCCATCCTTTTCTCTATTTCCCTTCTCTCTCCTATCTTCCATCCATCCTCTTTCATCCTTCTCTTCCTTCCATCCATCCTATTTTTTCTTTCCCATCCATCCATCCATCCATCCATCCTCTTTCGTGCTTATCTTCCTTCCACCTATCTTTTTTCTTCCCTTCCCTCTATCCTCTTTGATCCTACGCTTCCCTCCATCCTCTTTCATCCCTTCCTTCTCCTTCCTTCCCTTCTTCCCTTCTTCCCATCCATCCATTGTCTTTCATCCTTCTCTTTCTTCCATCCTTTTTCTTCCTTTCCTTTCCTTTCCCTTCATTCATCCATCCTCTTTCATCCTTCTCTTCCTTCCACCCATCTTCTTTCATCCCTTCTCTTCCTTCCATCCATCCTCTTTCATCCTTCCCTTCCCTCCATCCATCCATCCTCTT